CCTGGGCAACTTGACGAGACCTCATCTCTACAATAAATCAAAATGAGCCGGGTGTGGTAGTGCGCGCCTGTAGTTCCAGCTACTTGGAAGGTTGAGGCGGAAGGATCACTGGAGTGGGCTGGGGTGGCCGTGAGCGTGCCACTGCTCTCCAGCCTGGGTGATGAAGTGAGACTCCAACTCAAAAAAAATACAAAACAAACAAAACCAAAACTGACATAGGTCAAAAGGCAAATCATTAAAATTTCTTAACTTGGCCTGGCTCAGTGGCTCAGCCTGTCATCCCAGCACTTTGGGAGGCCGAGGCAAGTGAACTGCCTGAGACCGTGAGTTCAAGACCTACCCGGGAAGCTTGGCGAGCCCTCTTCTCTACAAAAAAAAAAAAAAAAAATTGGCCAGGCATGGTAGCCCACACCTGTAGTTCCAGCTCCTTGGAAAGCTGAGGTGGAAGGGTCGCCAGAGCCCAGCAGGTTGAGGCTGTGGTGGCCGGGAGCGTGTTCCTGCACTCCAGTCTGGGCGACAGCGTGAGACTCCAACTCAAAAAAAAATTTACTTACATATAAAACATGACCTTGGCCAGGCAAAGATTTTGTCAACAAGACGATCAAAGTACTAAAAACAGACAAACAAACAAACAAACAAACAAAATGAGACTGAGTGTTGATGACTGAGAACTTCTTTCCATCAAGAGAAAACATGAAGGGGTGAGAAGGCTGGTCACGGGAGGGAGAGGCATTCAACTGCTGCCTCTGTCTCCCAGATGATTCACGCCCACGCCCCGCACGGGACTCTCACGCGGCACTGCGAACGAGACTGTCAAGTGACGGCTCTCCACGTGGGGATGAGGTTTGAGTAGCGGGACCATTATCAGTCATCAGGAAGACACAGATGAAAGCCCCAGGAGCAAACTGGGCTCGGTGGCTCAGCCTGCAATCCCGTGCTTTGGGAGGCTGAGGTGAGTGGATTGCCTGAGCCCGCGGGTTCGAGACCCGCCTGGGCAACTTGGCGAGACCTCATCTCTACAATAAAATAAA